TTTTCCCCCCCCCCCCCCCCCGTGTTTGCCCCTCCCGAATAAGATGTTGTCAGAAACCGTGAAAAGGTCTATTTAAGTAAAAGTCTACTTACGAGCCGTGTAGTCCTTTGTTGGCTGAACAGACACCAAGACCCATCCCAACACGGCTCCTAATACACGCATAAGATTGATGATCCTCCAAGTCTCCAACAAAGAAGACGTTTCTGCGTCTCCCCTGAAAACACACACACAAACTCAACAACTAAACAACAAACACAAAAACTCTGAAATTAACTGTTGATTCACGCACATTAACCCATAAATTACACATTAAGTCTTCTGGAATCAACGCTTACAAACTTACCATAAGTTGTCATGCACTTTATAAAGACTAATTCTGTCGTCTATATTCGCCACACTAATCGAGAAAACCAGAGCAAAGAGATATGCTGTAGAAGGAAAGAAGCATTTATCATTTTAAGTAAAAATAATGTTGAAATCAAGCATTTAGGGTAAGCCATGTGTCGAAGTTTAGCTAGCCGAAGGGAAAACACCCTCTACTAATTGGGGACACTTAATATAATTAGAAGCCTACTAAATGATTTAAAGCCTGCTAACTTTTAACTAATGGGGGTCGAGTTAAAAACCCAAGTTCTTGAAATGATGTCCATCGAAAAAAAGCCTAACCAGAAAAAAAAAGTCATTATGTTATGAGTCAAGAATCATTACAATACATTGTCATAGAAGGATACTCTAAAATATCGTAAGAAGTCGAAGAGATTGATTGTTAACTATTTCTGTCAGCTCTCTTTTCGTACCACTAATTGAGAGAATCCTAGACGGTCTTGTGAGCAGGCCATGGAAAAACCCAGACCGTGGATTTGCCATGTCATATCTGCAATGAACAAGCAACCAAAGATCAGTATAAATGGAATATATGAATTTTCAAATATTGCGGAATGAAACTTTTTTCTCAGGCGTTTTCACAACTACTCATGTTATTTATTTAACTGCGATGGTCTTTCTTCTAATTAAAGATCAGGGCAGTGTTGTTCAAAGCCCGATTAGGTTAACCCAGGATCAGCTAAAGGTTTGATTTCAGTTTTGTAAATTATCAGTGAGGTTTCCTGTTCATATTCTTTGTCCCTCTGTTTGAGTTTGAATGATCTCAAACTACATAAGCAGTAAACAACATTTTTATAAGAGAAAAAGTCATACTTTGGTTAACTTTTAATCCTGGATTAGCAACCTAGCCATGCAACAGAGTTGTCGATATCGCATTCTTTTGAATCACTATAAAATTTTATGCCTATCACATATGAACACTTTCAGACAACAAAATCACACACACCTGTCGAAGACGGACACTGTACAAATGGCAAACAGCATGTAGTAAAGAGACTGCAAAGGTTGCGCCAGTTTGTAGTAGTTGTCTAAGAACACTACATCTCCTTCACTACTGTTGCTTAGCGAGTAAACAAATATGACTTGACAGAGTGCAAGACCTGCAGTGTAACGACAAACAACACTGGTTTAATGTCTCTGACTATTGTTACTATGATTCTTTTATGTCAATGAAAGCACGTTTTCACATCTTGGAACGTTTTTGGTCTTTACAAGGTCCTCAGCTTATCACTAGATTTCATCAGTATGAAAGGATTCTTATAAGAATATCTAAACGGTTATGCATCAAGGAAGAGGGATCGCTTGTCTTTAAATCCAATTTATTGTATTTAAATTTTTGAATATTTATTACTTACAGCTTTGGATTTTGGCCAAAAGTCCAAGTAGCAAGATTTTTATCACATAGTAGATAGCCACAGCCCAGATGCAAATCGCTGATATTAGAATGTTCTTTACACACGATGAGCAAGTCTGATAAATGCCATTTTGGATGACAAACTGCCTAAAAAAAGCCCGTTTTGAGGCAAACAAGTTCAACAGTCTGTAATCACTGCTGGTTATCTTTTGATACTTATAGACCCTTTTCATATGACAATTATTTTGTATGCATTTAAAATAATCTCACTATTATAAAACCTGATTTGAGAGTAAAACTACTGTTGAATAATAAACTTAAAAACGAGGTTAGTAAAGCTCATTTTAATACTAACAAAAGAATTTATAATTGCAGCCATTTATGAAAAGGGTTCTATTAAATTATAATATTGCATGTCACAAATTTTGATGAGCTAAGCATTTAAGCATCAGCTGTGCATCTAAGTCAGTGCATCACCTGCAAGGAGTCCATGACAAAAAAGAGAAAATGATCTAAAAGCTCGGTGCACAGACTGTTGAAGAAAGAAAAATACAATTATAAATATTACACTTCAATGGCTACAATGGCTTTTTCACTTCAGTAACAGAAAGAAGAAAGAAAACCAATGCAACAAGGGTAGTAACAAATGGAATTGGGTTCGGAAACTTGCACAAGCTGGTGGCCCCTGTTTTTTCAGACTAACTGAACAGCAAATATATATTTCTTTTAGTATTAAAGCTGTTTGGGTTGTGCAACAGATTTTCCATAAAAACTCACATACCACAGCAAACTCAGCAGTTGTCATCGGCCTGCTGCTGGGAATCGACTGAGGTTCTTTCCTCTCCTCCTCTAGCTGCAGTAGCCTCGTTTTCCTTTCACGTGTAAAGCCCTGACCGTCTGGAATAAAGCAAATTTGACTCATCAATGTATGGCAAGAACGATACTTATTTTCAGTAGATCCAAGGCATGTCATATGATTTTATATCCAACCCCCTCCCCCGAACCTCCACAATTTGAAATGGTGGTTTTTATTATAACTGCTGATTTTGACACATTCCCCCTAAATAATTAATTAACATGTGGTGCAAGTCAAGGTATAATTAATATTACTAGGATGAGATATAATGAACATGTAAATTACATGATTGTTTTGGCAAGTGTGAAAAATATTGTTATTTGTAATGAGAGAAAGGAAACTGTTATAACTTCTAGTTTACCTCTTCTTTCAATAAAAACAACATCTAATGGCTGACTTGGCAGAGTCTGTGCTGTAGGAGGGAGGGCAGGTGGTGCCGTCTCTGGCGTGTCAGCTACAACAATGTCTTCTTTGTCCACTTTGTAATAGTCCACTGTTGAAGCTGACAAGAGAATAGTCATGAAATAAATCACAGGTGTATTGTACGTGCTGTTGGGAAGGGGTGGGGGGAGACAAATTTTCCTTTAAAGAGAGTCTTAAAGATGATGAATTGAAAAGATCATGAAAGTGATCCTAACCCTGCCCATCAAACTTTTTCTCTTTGAGATGAAAGCGTTAACCCAATATTTGAGACAGTACCATTTACACTACGGTGTTGTACAGAGATAAGACTTTGTTTCTAGTACAAACCCCCATAAACCTTTAAGTTCTAGAGATATTTCTAGTTCAGTAGTCAAAACAAGATTATATCAAGATAAGATTTTCACCCACTAGCTTCTAAAATATAAAGCATAATAGACCCTTTGCACGATCCGGTCACATGGTACAAAATCACACATGTTGGTGAGCAAGTTGCGCAGTGGGACTTCCAAAACAAAGGCAGGTCCAGGTGGACTGGTACGAGTTGCATTGTATTGGAAGTCCCACTGCGCAACTTGCTCACCAGCATGCCTGATTTTGTACCATGTGACCGGATCGTACAAAGGGCCTATTAGTTACCTTCTCCATCAATATCTGCATTATAGTTATCTTCTTCTGCTGAAGTTCCATTTTGTTGTCTGGAAATGTTTAAGTTACTAGATATTTAATTAATTGAACTGACAACTGAAATAAATTCATATATTACATACATATAAGAATAAGTGGGAGGTGAGGTGGCCTCATGATTAGTGCACTCGTCTCCAGATAGAGCGGTCCGGGTTTGAGCCCTGGCCGGGGACACTGTGTTGTGTTCTTGGGCAAGACACTTAACTCTCACAGTGCCTCTCTCTGACCAGGTGTATAAATGGATATCAGCAAAGGTAATAATGGGGGTAACCCTGTGATGGACTAGCATCTCATTCAGGGAGGAGTAGAAATACTCCTACCCACTTCAAGTTACAGAAACCAGGATAAGCTCCTGCCTGATGGGCTACTTGGCTCATATGCAGACTTTACCTACCTTCATAAATGTATACATTAATGTATTTTATATAACATTATGAATTACACTCAATTCTAAGATTTTTCAGGTAATATTTCAAACCTGAGAGACCATGTGTAATGTTCAACATTTTCAAACACATAGGAAGACTGTTGAAAATATGACATGCAGCAGAACATTTCTGAGGAAATTTGAGATAATGAATTTCCACAGTAGAAATTAAGACTAACAAATACAAGTTCATGAGAAGTAAAATCCCGGCTAAAATAAAGTGATGAGGACATCTTCACAAACCCTTATGAATGCTATGTAATAAATACCTTTGCAATTTCTTTGTTTTATGTTTTTTTGGTCTCAACCTCTTTGGGTCTCCCGGGCCATCATATCCATCATAATCATTAATGTATTCTTCTCCATTGACAACATCTTTTGAGCCTAAAACAATATATAATAATCGTTTCTGTTTAAGTCACAAACAGTTTGATTAGGCTGGAAATACTGCAATGGGTCTGACACATTTCATTAATTTCAGATAAGTTTGGTAAAAAGTTACTTGCCAAGGGAAACATGATTTGTAAGCAAAAATCCTCGTAAAATATGAGAAAATTGGAAACAATAATTTATTTAGTTGATTATGCATGCAGTAGCCCCTAACACAGTGCCTCTCTCCACCTAGGTGTATAAATGAAGGGCTGCCTGGAAAACATCCTTAAGGTTACTTCAAACCTTTGCGGGGCTATATTGGTCGATTTTTTTTGGTCAAGAAAATTAATGTCCGCAAAGCACAAGTTTGCATACTGTGAACACTAGGGGTTCTGTTATTTCATTGGCTCACAGCTTTCAAGTTGACACATTCCTCTGTGAAGGCGTGATATGTTTATAAATCTTTAGAAGGCGAAAACTTGCACTCATTTTTCGAGAGAATCCCTTCTCTTTAAATGAATTAATAGGGTATGCAGATCTGAAGGTTTTCCATGAAATTTGGTCAGAACATTCACTGACAGATATGGAACAAAATCATGTCGGCGAATTCCTTTATTTTAAATACTTTCCTCGTGGCGGCCTTTAACGTAACAGGTTACACGAATTTTTCGATAGTCGAACTTGACATATCTATAAAAAGATAACCAATAGAAATAAATGAAAATGCTGACACATTTTTGAAGATTGAGGCTTTGTTACCAACACTGCACAGTTTGTTGTATGAACGATCGCATTTGCTACCCGATTAATTCGCTGGAACGTCAGTCGGTCATTTTGGAGTTGACGGCCTCTGCCGTCTTTGGAAGGCAAAATCCAAAACAAAACATAATTTTACCGAATTGTACATTTTATGACCTTTCTGTTGATATATAGTTTGTGGGGGTTTCCTTGAAGTAACCTTAAGAGACTTCTGATAAATTGCTAGAATCTCATTTCAGATTGCCTTAGTTCTCCTGTGAGACACAAGGAGGGTTTGACTTTACATCAACAGTCACTTCTAAGGTCCTTATTCTCCACACTCCTTCAAATGGGTACTGGGAAACAAAATGCTAGCAATAAGGGGACAACACAAGAGGAGTATCGAAAGAAACCATCAGTGTTAAAACCAAATAAAGGAAACTTAACTGACCATGGGTTTTCTTTCGTCTTGGTCTCCTTCTTGCTGGACTCAAGTTTTCATTGTCTCCCATCATTTCATCATCCTCTCTATCAATCATTTCAGCACTAGCAGATCTTCTTGTATGCCTTACCCCACCAGACGACGGCCGTTTATATCTTTTCTTTTCTGGCATATCAAGTGTTTTTGATGTCTCCATTCCATCATACACATCCCCTAAGAGGAAATAAGTGATATAAGGTCCCCAATACTCAGACAGGATTATCAAAGGTAATCAGGTAATAACTTTGGTTCTGGTTTAAGTACGGTTTTAGATTGGCTGAGTTGTCTAATTCGTAAGTAAATGGTTTGGTTTTGGTTTCATGACACTCATTTGAAAACTGCTCCAACTAATGATATAATACACAATGCTATCAGATGGACTAAAACCAGTACTGTTACTACAATGAGTATTGAGTAGAGATAAAATCCTAGGGGTGACTAGAGATATTGTTAGATCATTACCAAACTTTGTTATTTTCCCAAAAGACAGGGAGATCTTACATTATGAGTTATTTACAACATTAAAAACTGCGATGGGGTTGCGTCTGTATTCCCATGATAGAGTATCTCCCATAAATTGAACTTTCCAAAATTATTATCCCCTTTGCACTTGTAAACAAAAGTTATGATGATGATCACATTCCCTGTATTCCTATACGGAGAAACAATAGTCTGGCTAAAAACTCATTTGGGTACTGTCAATAATCTTATTACTGTAATTGTGACACATCGATCACGTGAGTTTGCACCACCCACACCCACGTGCCCTCTTGGATTTCAAAACAAAAGACCAATGTATTCTACCCCAGCACTTGTGTAACACATTTAGGTCTATTCTGATTGGCTGAGAACATACAGCCAATTCATGCTGGTATTAAATTGCAATGTCATAGAGACAAACAAATAGGATTTATGCAGGCAGAGCCGATGTCAATAAATATGCTACAGATGATAGAGTGTAATTATAGCATCATGAATCTCACAACATGTCATCCACTTCATTGCAACAACAGGAAAGACATTGCAAGACTTCACATTCTGTGACAGAAAAAGCTACAAGACACCCAGAGTTGACCCGAAAATAAGGAATTACTCTTTTAATATACTAAAACAATTATATAGGATTCAGTTTTAGCATCACAGCAAAGATATTGAGGCCATGGTTTGTCTTATCCACTTCAACCTTTAACTTCTGTAGATAATACAAACCTCGGCAATGATTGATAATTCTTGTAACCATGCTCAACCTCATCCAATAATTTTATTGCACATAAGTCACACCAGCCTAACACCTTAGCCCATTTATATATGTGTTCCAGTTCAAAATTACACTTGGTACAATTTGGTATTTTCCTTTGTTTCATATAGTATAATTGCATTCGACAGAACGCAGTTCTAATCATGTAATGCATAAAAATTCGAGATCTGTGTATCTATCTATCTATCTACCTATTGGGGGACACTAATTTGCCCCCCCCCCCAAAAAAAAATTCTTCAGGGGCAAATGATGTCATCTCTTTGTTCATTCATGTGCTTTCTTTCGAGTGTTGCACAATATTTTGGACTTTCAAGTGTCGAGGCGGCTTATTGTAGACTGTAGCGGATACTGAAATTGGTTATTTTTAAGTTCGAAATCAGTGTTAAAGGCATTTGAAAACCTTGCAGACATGTCTTCACGAATGGTGTAAGACTTTTCAAGGCAGCTTATTGAAGACTGTAGCAGATAAGTTATTTAAAGCTCAAAGTCAGTGTTAATGGCATTTAAAAACCTTGCAAGCATGTCTTGACGAAATGTGTACGACTTTTCGTGTGAACAGAAAGCTGTAGCTTGGCTGCGTGTTGTGTACCCTCTTCTCTTCAACCAAAACCAATGCTACTTTATGCTGAATAAATCAAACGAGGAAATGTGTAGTTTCACTTCTTTCACCTAGGTTTCTGTGCACAAAATGTGTAACGTAAACCCAACGTGCGAGGAAAGTGTTTACATAGGAAAAGAGTTCAACTCCCACAGGATTGCTCTGGTACACCAACATCAGGGCTGTCATTAAGGGCCATAACCTATAACACCTGTTACGGCTGAGTTCACTTGATGTTACGGGTGAAGATGTCGATTGATGGTACGAACATGCTACACTTACCTAATTTATTTTTAAACATTTACCTATTGAAATAAACATAACTGTTTCTTGGTGTCTTGCCTCCTTGGTTCTACTATTTATATTTTACTCTGGAGATGAACTTTCAGTTTGCTTTATCGCCGTGAATTACATTTAGACGCCATTTTAAGCAGCAGAACTTATTACGCAATGCGTTGCTCCTACCTTTTGAGAAATTTCGCCGACCGATGTGGAGTGTTGTCCAGGCTGATCGATCGTGTTTGGTCCCGCACGTGTGTAGAGAAAGATATGTTTTAATATGAATAAGAGAAAAGAACCCACGTCAAAACAGCCTGGGATCGACAGATTTTTTTCAAAATCCCAACGGACCGATGGAAATGAGGAA